TTTCTCTTCCTCTTCAATGTATACCTTAAAGGTACAACTCCCCTCCCTTAAATTGGGGTGTGATCTGTTTACAAGTTCTAACCCGCTCTTTGAAGACTGATCAGTGGCGCAGTTATGTAATTTTAGGCTCTGGACTAAATGGGCTTATTCCTCCTCCTGCCCATGCTAATGTATACGGTACTTCAGATGGCTGCTTCTGGGAGCCCTCTGCTGAGCCAGAGCCCTGGATTTCTGCCCTAAAGTGCCTCTCAGATGGCACCACTGAGAACAACATCCTAAAATACATCCCAGAATCTTTACAACACGCAGGGATTTACTGTCAGTCAAGTGAATATGGAATGCAGTGGTTGCATTGGGCTGCAGGGTTTTCCAAACAGGTTTTAAAAAACGACGACAGCAATCCAGTTTATACACATGTGTGCAGAGGACCTGACGGGTGTGGATGCGTTAAAGGTGTGCCTGGGAATGGGGAGAGAAGGAGAGGGATTGACCAATGCACAAAGCTCTGACTTCCTTGCTTGAAGATGGGCATGTAGGTGGGAAACAAAGGGGGAACTGTCTAGGTCAGTGGTGGCGAACCTATGGCACGGGTGCCAGAGGTGGCACTCAGAGCCCTCTCTGTGGGCACGTGTGCCGTCACCCCTATCAGGCCCAGACCATCTCTGCCAAATAATTTTAAGTAAGTGAAAGCATTTGGGATTGCTTTCCTTACTTTGTTTGCATCATCTTAAGTTAATGTATGAGTTGTTTTTTTTCTAAACTAAAACCTCAGTATTCAGGTTAAATGGCCGTGTTGGCACTTTGCGATAAATAAGTGGGTTTTGGGTCGCAGTTTGGGCACTCGGTCTCTAAAAGGTTCACCATCACTGGTCTAGGTGATGGAGGTGGGTGGGAAATGGCGACTTTCTGTGCTAGACGTTCTTTTCCTGCCCAGCCTCTTCCCTGCACCCTCCAGCTGTCTTCCACCTGGCTACCCATCTTTGCTCCGTCTCTGTGTGGGGAGTGGTGTGGGGTGGAAAATTTCATGCTAGATTTTTCCATGGAAATTTTTCTGCCTCACATATGAAAATTTAGTCTATTTATCTACAGTTGTCAGGGCTGTTTTGCTGCAAATCAATCATGTTCAGTGTGCTAAATGTAGGGTATGAAGCATGGACAAGCTCCAATACTTGTACATTGTCTAGACTTGTATGTGTTGTATTTGCCTTCCTTTGCAAACATGATTTAAACATTACAATTACATATTTAAATCAGAAAACCTGCTTTAGATCTTCCTGGAAAATTCACGTCACTGAGCTTGGAGAGCGATGGATCCTGCCTCTGATTTTTAATCCTGGTTTTTAACAAATAATAAATGTCAGGTTTACACAACATTCTATGTTTGAATTTGAACATGTACTTTGGTTTGTTTGATGAAGCAGCTATAAGTAACTCTGTCATTTGGCTTACATAGTTGTAGAAGCTATCAGAAAACATGTCAAAATTTAATTTGCAAAGATGCTGTGTCACTCTTACATCAACCTAGAAACACTTTTGTTCGTTTGTCCCGATACTGGCCGTTAGGGAGAATGTGCATACCATATAGCTGTTGCTAAAAGGAACTGACTTTACAAGCTGTAGAGGTTTAGTAAGGAGTCAGTTCCATATTTTTCAAACCGTAGCTTCCTCCAACTACTTCACGTTAATTTTCAGTCGTGACTTGTCACAAACATCCCCTTTCCCCTTTTCCCACAAAAGCAAGCTCTGAATGCATTTCTTCAAGACATTTGTTCCACTTTCCTCACTGCTAAGAAATGACTGCTACTGAAAGCAAGGCTTCCAAGTTCTTTCTGGAGTGGAGGCATTTTTACGATGCAAATTAGCTGTAGGAAGGGGGTGGTGCTGATACTCACCTTCAGGGTGAGATTAAGATTGGGGGGAGCCCAATTTCTGTCTCTTGCCCAGCAGTCCCTAGCATAGAGCTTGCCCTTTTCACTGCTGCAGCACACTAGGTTGACATTTTCATTGAGCTATCCACTATGACCCCAAGGCAGTGAGGCTGATAAAACGGAACACAGGCTATGGCAAATAAAATGCAAGTCTGAGGTCAGGCAGGCAAAAAGGGAATATGAGGAGCATATAGCAAAAAACGTAAAAACCAACAATAAAACTTTCTTCAAATACATTAGAAACAGGAAACCAGCCAGGGAGGCAGTGGGGCCCTTGGACGACCAAGGGGTAAAAGGAGTATTGAAGGATGATAGGGAAATGGCTGAGAAGCTAAATGCATTTTTTGCCTCCGTCTTCACTGTGGAAGATGAGAAGTGCTTGCCCACTCCAGAACCACTGATTTCAGGAGGGGTGTTGGAAGACCTGAGTCAGATTGAGGTGATGAGAGAGGAGGTCCTAAAACTGATAGACAACTTAAAAACTGAAAAATCACCAGGCCCAGATGGCATACATCCGAGAGTTCTGAAAGAACTCAAATGTGAACTTGTAGATCTCCTGACAAAGATATGTAATCTTTCCTTAAAATCTGCCTCCATTCCTGAGGATTGGAAGGTAGCTAATGTCACTCCCATCTTTAAAAAGGGTTCCAGAGGAGATCCGGGAAATTACAGGCCAGTCAGTCTGACGTCGATACCGGGTAAATTGGTGGAAACCATTATTAAGGAAAGAATTAGTAGGCACATAGATGAACAAAACCTATTGAGGCAGACTCAACATGGGTTCTGTAAGGGAAGATCTTGTCTCACTAACCTGTTAGTGTTCTTTGAGGGGGTGAACAAACATGTGGACAAGGGGGATCCAATAGATATTATTTACCTTGACTTCCAGAAAGCTTTTGATAAAGTTCCTCATCAAAGGCTCCTAAGTAAGCTCAAAAATCATGGGATAGAAGGACAAGTCCTTTTATGGATCAAAAACTGGCTAGTTCATAGAAAACAGAGAGTGAGTGTAGGTGGGCAATTTTCTCAGTGGAGGGTGGTAAGCAGTGGGGTACCGCAGGGATCAGTACTTGGTCCACTGCTTTTTAACTTGTTCATTAATGATTTGGAGATGGGAGTAAGCAGTGAAGTGGCTAAATTTGCGGATGATACAAAGTTGTTCGGGGTGGTGAAAACCAGTGAGGATTGTGAGGCACTCCAAGGGGATCTGTCAAGGATGGGCGAGTGGGCGTCAACATGGCAAATGGGGTTCAATGTGGCCAAGTGCAAGGTGATGCACATTGGAGCCAAAAATCCTAAATATAAATACACGTTGATGGGGTCTGAACTGGCAGAGACTGATCAAGAGAGAGATCTTGGAGTTGTAGTGGATAACTCACTGAAAATGTCGAGACAGTGTGTGACTGCAATAAAGAAGGCCAATGCTATGCTGGGGATTATTAGGAAGGGTATTGTAAACAGATCAGCCAATATCATAATGCCGCTATATAAATCAATGGTGCGACCTCATTTGGAATACTGTGTGCAGTTCTGGGCACCACACCTTAAAAAGGATATTATAGCTTTGGAAAAAGTGCAGAAAAGGGCAACTCGAATGATAAAAGGGTTGGAACACTTTCCCTATGAGGAACGGTTAAGGCGCTTAGGGCTCTTTAGCTTGGAGAAACGACGACTGAGGGGTGACATGATTGAGGTTTATAAGATTATGCATGGGAAAGAGCAGGTAGAGAAAGAGGTACTTTTCTCCCTTTCTCACAATACAAGAACTCGTGGGCACTCCATGAAATTGCTGAGCGGTCGGGTTAGAACGGATAAAAGGAAGTACTTTTTCACCCAAAGAGTGATTAACACATGGAATTCACTGCCACAGGAGGTGGTGGCGGCTACAAGCATGGACGGCTTCAAAAGGGAATTAGATAAGCATATGGAGCAGAGGTCCATCAGTGGCTATTAGCCACAAGGTATAGATAGGGGCTCTGGGGCAAGTGATGCTCTGTCTTCTTGGTTGTGATACAGAGTGTTGGACTGGACTGGAGGTACCTTATCAAAAGCCTACAAGTATATAATGTGTACTGAGTCATCTTTATCTACATGCTTATTCACTTTCTCAAATAACTCCAAAAGGCTGGTGAGGCAGGACATCCCTTTGCAGAAGCCATGCTGATTTTCTCTCGGCAGGCTTTGTTCCTCCATGCGCCTAATGTATCTTTGATTACAGTTTCTACTAATTTGCCTATGACAGACATTAGGCTGACTGGCCTGTAATTTCCTGGTTTCCCTCTCGATCACTTTTGAAAAATCGGTTTAACGTTTGCTACTCTCTGGTCTTCTGGTACAGTAGCTGAATATACATTCCAGTTAGAACTAAGTAGTAGCAGCAGTAATAGTATAAAACCTTTTCTGGACAAGGCTGGACAAGGCTTTAAGTGGTCTGAAGGATTAAGCTCATACAAAATGGAATGAGGTGTAGATCTGGGATTTTAATCTGTTTGAAATGGCACAGGGGTTTTATTCTAACCATTTGTATTTTTCAGTTTTACTGCCTGTTTTTTTGGCTCTGCTCTAACCTGGTGTGAGCCTTCTACAGAGGAAGCTAAAATCTACATAAATAAATATGCCTAGCATTAAACTATTGTATTTTTCAGTTTTACTGCCTGTTTTTGGCTCTACTATAACCTGGTGTCAGCCTTCTACAGAGGAAGCTAAAATCTATGTAAATAAATATGCCTAGCATTAAACTGCATTCCTCACAATCAAAGTTTGACAGTACCCTTTTTTGTTTGTTTGGGGATTTTTTTAGTGTGCTGTTTGACCTTTGCTCTATACATTAGATATTTCAGTACTAAACAGAATAGGGAAGGAGAATGACAAATAACAGCTGCTGCTAAATGAAGCTGATTCAGTTGTTTTGATTTCTGTGTCTGTTTTGTTGTCAGAGAGATTGTCATGACCTTCTCTGCCTAGCCCAGTGACTTCGACTCTGAGTCCTCCGGAGAACAGGCCGAGGAGGACCTGCGGTGAAACGTCACCTCCTTACCCTGTAAAAATATAACCAAGTCAACCCATTCGGTCCATATTTTAATAGTTTTCTGTTAGTGAACTTGTTTACCAGTCATGTCACTTGGATGGTATAGAAGACAAAAAAAAAAACCCTTTTCCAGGAACATGACATCAAATTTGTGATTACATAAATTGTTCAGAACTGCAAAGCAAAAAAACAAGAAAATCCCAACAAAACCTGAATTGAAAGTCTGCTTCCTGATAGAACACTGTCCAGTTATATGCAGCCAGCAGTGTGACAGGTCTTCTCAAGACCGGTTTATACCCCAGAGGGTTAAAATATACATTATAGTTTTCTGCATGTGACTGTTGTTGGTCTTACAAAGTCAGGAAAATTATCCATCAATCCAAGTGTCTAGTAGCAGCCAATTTTCCATGCTAATACAGTCAGTCTGCTAATGAAGCTGTGAGGCATACGTGGCCAGTGTATGATGGAGGAACTGGTATTGTTCACTGGTCTGTATCATTCCACCTCTGCAAGGCAAAGAGAATTTATGTAAACCCACAGTCATAGGGAGTTACAATAATTTCATTTTGCAACAATGATGACAGGAAGCTACATTTATACCATCTAGTTCAGCATTATCCCCTCTGATTTGAGAGTGGCTGTTTTGGGCAGGCAGGGAAAGTTTCCCTTCAGTATCTGCTATCTCAGACCTGTAAATGGTGGTGTCAGGGAGAGAACCAGAACATTCTGCATGCAATGCATGTGCTCTACCACTGAGCTGGACAATGGGCATTTTGAGCCATTTACTGATTGCAGGATCGATGGCAGGGGTATTCTAGTGGTCAATGGAGAACCACATGCGGCTTGCAAACTGTTCCATTTCAGGCAAATGAACCAAAGCCTTTGGCATACCTATGAACTAAAAGAACAACAAAGAATAAATTGCTGGTAGCAGCTGTAGCAGAGGCCTCCTTACACACAGTGTTCACGGATATGGACCAGGGATGGGCAAGTAAGTAGAGAAGACACAGTGAGGCCTGGAAAAGCCCGGATGGAATGTTGGGGAAATTAAGTATGGCTAGCAGATGCAATGGGAGGTTCGCAGAGGGAGAAATGTCAGAACAGAGGAGTTCTGTGAGAAACAGGTTGTCTTAAGACAGCAAACCAAATTATGATTTGGATGTAGAGTTGCCAAGCTGCAGGTGGCCCTGGAGAGCTCCCTTAATTACATCTGATCTCCAGAGAACAGGGATCAGTTCCCCTGGAGAAAATTGCTGCTTTGGAGGGTGGACTCTATGGCATTATACTCCACCAAGCTCCCTCCACATGCCACCCTCTCCAGGCTCCACCCTCAAATCTCCAGGAATTCCCCAATCCAGAGTTAGCAACCCTATTTGGATGCATTGCTACACTGGTGGTCTTTATAAATTTGATTGTTTTAACTAGGCTTAAAGGGCTACCAAGTAAAGGTGGGCGCTGTCCAAGGTTGACTGAAAGGGGATTTTTTATGTATGTGAAACAGAATTCAGCCTCTGTTGGTAGGGTTGCCACCAGTGCCAGGTTGGGAAATACCTGGAGATTTTGGGGGTGGAGCCGGAGGAGGGTGGGGTTTGGGCTTCAATGGGGTGTAATGCCATAGAGTCCACTTTCCAAAGTGGCCATTTTCTCCAGGTGAACTGATCTCTATTCCCTGGAAATCAGTTGTAATCCCAGAAGGTCTCCCTCCAGCCACCACCTAGGAACTTGGCAACTCTGTCCATCAGACATGCAGGCTAAAGTAGTCTTAAAAAAAAACCCAATAAAAACCTCCCCCCAGGGGGATGCAAAAAAAAAAAGACATGCAGGCTAAAGCATACAACCTTCTATTTTGCACCGAGGGACCATCTAGAGGCATAGCAGTTCAGGGTACACTATTGCCTGGCTTGACAGGGAAAGCTGAAAATGGTTTTGACTAATGCTTAGTTACCAACCATTGCTGATACCAAGTAATATTCATTTGGAGGGGGGGCGGGTTAGAGTTTGGTTTTTTGTTGTTGTTTTTTTGCATTTTTGTGCGTGTGTGTGTGTGTGCCCGTGCCTGGAAGTCATGGCAACTACTACTGGGGCATGGAGGACGTTCAGAGAGGTGGCTTATATTACCTGCCTCTGCATCCTGAGCCCTGGTATTCCTTGGAGGTCTCCCATCCAAGTACTTGCCAGGGTCGCCCCTGCTTAGCTTCCAAGATCCAATGAGACGGGGCTTGCCTGGGCTATCCAGGTCAGGGCCATTTCAATTGTGTTTTGATCACTTTAGACACACACAGCAGCACTGCTTGATAGACTGCTCCTTTTGTGATGAGTTGGTGAAGGTTCTAAGGACATTTTACCCAGGAGCAAGATAGGGGCTGGCTCATTTCGTGATAACACCCAGGGCCACAGCAGACCTTCCTCTGTAAATGGGCTGCACAGTTCCAAAATGGGGCTTCAGATAAATGAATGAAAAATCAGTGATTTCTAGGGCTGTCAACCTCCAGGTGGCACCTAGAGATCTCCCGCTATTATAGTTGATTGCCAGACAACTTAGATTACTTTCTCTGGAGAAAAAGGCTGTTTTGGGGGATCGGCTGTATGGCATTACACCCTGATGAAATCCCTCTCCCCAAACCCCACCCTCCCCAGGCTCCACCCCCAAAATCTCCAGGTATTTCCCAACTCCCAACCAGGGTTCCCGCTAAGTTGAGTTAGTGTGAGCTAGCTCACTGTTTTTTAGCCTCCGGCTCACACATTTTCGCCTTGGCTCAGGAAGGAGGGCTCCAGAGCAAACTAGTGTATGCAGCAGCCAAATCGCTCGCTCACAACTTTCATGCCGGTAGCTCACAAAGTAGAATGTTTGCTCACAAGACTCCATAGCTTAGAGGGAACACTGCTCCCAACCCTAGAACAGGAACTTCTACAACCTTCTCACAAAGCCCAAGTAACTACACATATTTCAGCATTTAGAGACTTTTAGTGTCATAATATACATTTCTGAATAAGAACATTAATTTTAAAGTTAAGAACATTGGATCAACCTATAATGAACACACACACCCTTATATACATAACTTCCTTAAGTTAACCCTTCACCCTCCTTCCTTTAAGCACCCTACTATGCTCAGAATAGCTGTTTAGGGACTGGGGGGGGGATAACTCTTAAACATAAAGATGATAGCAACCTTTAAAAATCCGCCTTAATCTGGGGGGAAAGTTAGGTATTTCATGTGGCTGCAGCACTAACATTTGACAGAGACATTAGCCATGATTTTCTAACAGAAACAGTCCTTAAAAAAAAAATCCTCCCCACTTATGGTTGCTTCCACATGGCTATTTTGTGGTACCATGGCTCCCAGATAGGTGCACCCTTTCCCCCAGCATTCACACAGCATCATTGTACATTCATGCACCTTTTGACTTTCCCCGTGCTTTAATGTGATCTTGCTTTGGGATGATCTTTTTTGAAAGGTCACAGCCAGAGTATGCTTGCGCCAGTGTAAATGGAAAGAAGCAGATTCCCCCCCAAGTCCTGTCCATGTTGCTGCTATTTCCCTTGCCCCTGTTCCCCGTGGCTGTCATTACCCCCAGCCTGTACCACCAGAAGGCTTTTTGGGGCAACATGTCAGAAAAAAACCCTCCAGGGGCATGGGGGGAGGAATGGCTCCCACAGGTGGCTAAAGCAAAGTAACCATCATGTGGATGCTGCTGTGAATCCTTCTACATTTGGAGCAGCAACAAGAGGCACACAGAGAACTGACAGTGTGTGGACAAAGCCTTAATGGAACCTGTCAGCTTAGAAAGTAAAAGGCCTTTTAGAAACACCACTTAGGTGATGAGGTGAGCCAGTATTGCAAGTGGGCCCATGTATTTACTGGTCCTACTCTGCCTACAGCCCTGGATACCCATTAACAAGTGATTTGATTGGTGCCTCGGCATGGGGTGATTCAGTAGAAGGAACTTTGGGTTAAAGTAAGGTAAGCAAACTGGGCCCCAGTTTCTCATAGGAGCAGAATTCGAATTGCCAACCTCAAGGTGGAGCATGGAGATCTCCAAGAACTGCAACTGATCTCCTGATGACAGAGAAAATGGCTCCATCAGAAGGTGGAATCTAGAGCATCATACTCTACATAAGACCAGTGTTCCCTCTAAGCTGAGTTAGTGTGAGCTAGCGCACAGTTTTTTAGCCTCCAGCTCACACATTTTTTTTTAGCTCAGGAAGGAGGGCTCCAGAGCAAACTAATTTATGCAGCAGTTAGATTGCTCGCTCACAGGTTTAATGCCAGTAGCTCCCAAAGTAGAATTTTTACTCACAAGACTCCACAGCTTAGAGGGAGCATTGCCAGGGCCGGCCCCAGCTTATTTTGCACCCTAGGCGAGGATCCCTTCTGGCGCCCCCCCCCCCACCGGTGCGGCCACCAATTTTCAAAAATAAATGCATTTTAGGAAGAATTAAAAACACAATTTTTGAAATTGCTAATTTTTTTAATTGTGAGAATAAGACATGTATACAGCATATACAAAGAGGAGACATAAGTCTTCCACCCCAAGACATTTGCCTGCCTTGAAAAAGCAAGCTCCAGAGAGTTTCTCTGTGCTCCATTGCAAAGGGGGGGGGCAGATGGGGGCAGTCAAGGATGCTTCCTTCATGTCTCTGGAAAGATGATAACTGGGTGGCCTTGGTCCAGTCACAGTTCTTTCAGAGCAGTTCTCTCAGAGGCCTCTCTGTCCCAGCTGGATTGTAAACTGCTCTGAGTTGCAAAGTGAAGGGCAGGGACTACAGTCTTCCCAGGGAGAGGCTGCTTGATAACCTAATAGCTCTCTGAAGAAGTGAGTAGCACCAAATTAAAACAATGGATATCAATAGTTGTCTAGGGTTTTTTAAAATGTATATACTATTTGGGGAAATAAGTCACTGTACGCTACAACTTGGAGGCTGTTAAAGTGACAAATCCAGAGGAAGTACAGTGCAAGACATGCTTTTCCAGTTACAACTTCAAAGTAGGAATGCAAAAGAAATTAAAGCTTTGGTATCTGTTGTCAAATTTACTGTTTAAGATTTAAGAAACAGTAGAATATAATTAAGTATTATAGACAGTTCTGTCCACATATCTCTTTCTGAACACAAACTTTAAAAACTGTAAAGAACACAAGCCACTTTCCCCCAAGACACCTAACAGCCTTTTGACAGCTGAGCCATCATCAGTAGTGTATAACCAGAAGACTGCAGGCAAGAGAAACCACCTCTGAAATCTTTCTTTAGATAAGAATATCTAATCTACAGGCAATACAAGCAGCAAATGGCACAGCTTCTATACACTCCTGCTATAGTGTGTCAAAATGGCTTCACAAGAAATTAACACTAGGCTTAAAAAATGTTAAAAGCATGTGCAGAGTCCTGGCTAAGGAACAGAACAAAACAAATTCTACAAAAGTTGAGAGAGGCAGTTTTAATAGCAACTTCAGGCAAGTGCTTTAGCAAGCTGACTAGGCAATGCATGCACTTATCCATGCAAAG